CAGTGACCATCTGCCTCTCACAGCTGCTCCTGTAGACGATTTGAGACTGTTCGGCATGTAATCAGCCCACAAATCACTCATATTTCTCCTGCCTCCCCAGTAACGAAGAAAGCAAATTATCTTTGCTTAGCTTGTTCTGAAGATAACCTCTCACATTGATCTTCTGTGATTATTCTCTTCTTAAATATATTTTAAACCGTATTTAAGTTTTTAAATTATAAAATATTGTGTATATGTTATGTGAAGTTTGGACTCTCAAGTATAAAGCAGAAAATTTTAAATGATTCATAATTCTAATAGACAAAGAAAATCACTATTGATATATCCTTACTCATCTGGTCATTCATTTATACTTTAACAGACATCACGAAGGGCTTACTGTGTGTTCCAAGTGCTGGCTCCTGGAGTTCTGCCTTGCATAAATATACATAAAAATGTATCTTTCACAAAACTGGGATCACGCTGTGCGGCTCTATTAGCTTCTATTTTCACTTGTCAATATGTGGTGAGTACTTTAATGTATCGTTAAGCATTCTTGTCACATTTATGAAGAAATTCAGGGTCTCGTTTTACCACTCCCCTTCAAGGTGGATTGTCCAGAATCCCATGTCCACTGGGAAGGGCTGTCTCTATGCATCATTTTCAACCTCAAAAATCTACAATGGTCAGAGCTAAAAACTTTCGTGGAAATGAGGAGGAAGCTCCTTGAAAACAAGGATTATGCATCATTCTTCTTTTGATTCCTACAGTATACTACACAAACTCATGTAAAAATTGAGAAATGAAATTCTGATGACTACCAATTTTTCATTTTATTTAATCTTCTACTTTGTAGCACTCATATTATCTTGTATCTACCATGCTTTTTTTTTTATCATAGAAACCACTGCTTCAATACACTCTTTAACAATTAATCTGTCTAGTTTCCATCCTCTTTTTGCCTATTCCAGACAAGACAGCATGCTCCAAATTTCGGCTTGTCTTGTTATTTAAAAAGTGAGGTACCCTCTTCTTCTAACATTCACTTCTGTTTAGCTGTCTGCACCATCCAGCCCTGACTAAACTATAAACTCTATGAGGGAAGGGACAAGGGCCATGTAGATTATCACCACATCACCTGTGTCTGGCATATAGCAAGTGTATAATAATTAGCTGAGAGAGGAAGGAATACATTGTCCAGGAGGAAAGAGAATGTTCTGGACCG